CATGCAAAAGACAAGAACTCTAGTGGTACTCACTAGACACTATATTGAAAATGAACTATATGGCTGGTTATGTGGCTTAGTGATAGAGTGCCTGCCTAGCATGAATGAAGCCTGGGTTCAATTCCTCAGTACCACATAAACAGAAAAAGCCGGAAGTGGCACTGTGGCTCAAGTGGTAGAGCACTGTCCTTGAGCAAAAAAGCTCAGGGACAGTGCCCAGGCCTGAGTGCAAGCCTCAAGACTGGCAAAAAAAAAGAAAAAAGAAAAAAGAAATACACACACACACAAATACATATATGAAAAACTGGTTTCTTTATTGCTTTGTATGTCCCTCCCCCATGGTATAACCCCTGCTTTCACTGTATTTGAAGTTAGTATAATTTGTGGAGGGGAAGGGAAAAAACAAATCATTTAAATAGGGATACAGGTGGATCCATTGCAACAATGAGATGTACAAGTCGTTATATGGAAATGGGGGGCTCTTTGGGAAGGGATGGGAAGGGAAAACAAAGGAGGAGGCTACAATGATTGATAAGAAATGTACTCACAGGCTGGGGAGGTGGCTCAGTGGTAGAGCACTTGCCTTGCATGCCTGAGGCCCTGGGTTCGATTCCTCAGCACCACATAAGCAAAAAGAAAAAAAGCTGGAAGTGGCGCTGTGGCTCAAGTGAGTGGTAGAGTGCTAGCCTTGAGCTGAAGAGCTGAGGGACAGTGCCAAGGCTCAGAGTTCAGGCCCCACGACCGGACCCAAAAAAAAAAAAAGAAATGTACTCATTATCTTGTCCATGTAATTGTAACCCTTCTGTACAGTATTTTCACAATAAAAAAGAAAGAAAGAAGAAAGACTGGGAGAGAGCAAGGAAAAGAGTGACACTGTCCAAAAAGAAATGTACTTATCACCTGACTCATGTAACTATGACCCCTTTGTACATCACCTTTATAATAACAATAAAATATTTTTAATTTACATTATTGTTATTGTAGAGGTAATCTATAGAGGGGTTACATTTACGTGTGTCCGGTAAATAAGTGCATTTCCTTTTGTACATGACCCAACAGCATTACACTGGAAGGATCTTCAGTGATTCAGATACATCCTGAAATCATGTAGACTCTAAGAAAATGCTCTACCTTTAAGAATGATGCTAAGAGAAATAATGCTAAAAATGTCAGTGAGTCTGATGCTTAAAATTTTAACCTAGTTAGCAGCTGGTGGCTCACGCATATAATCCTAGCTACTCAAGAGACTCATTTGATGACTGAAGTTCAAGCTAGGCCATACAGGAAAATTGTGAGACTCTTCTCTCCAATTAACCACCAAAAAAGAAAGTGAAGATGAATGCCGGTGGCTCACACCTGTAATCCTAGCTACTCAGGAGGCTGAGATTTGAGGATCTTGGTTCAAAGCCAGCCCAGGCAGGAAAGTCAAGCTCCACGACCTACCAAAAAAAAAAAAAAATGAAAGAAGGAAGGAAGGAAAGAAAGAAGGAAAGAAAGAAAGAGAAAGAAAGAAAAAAGGAAAGAAAGGAAGGAAGAAAGAAAAGGAAGGAAAGAGGAAGGAAGGAAGGAAGGAAGGAGAGAGGAAGAGGAGCAGCAGCTGGAAATAAAGCTGTGGCTGAAGTGGTTGAGTGTCAGCCTTGAGTGAAAAAGCTAAGGGATAACGCTCAGACCCAGAGTTCAAGCCCTAGCACACATACACACCCCTTCAACATAAGAGAAAGTCCATAGAAATAATTTAAGTGCCCATCTTCTACACATAGCCAAATATTTATTAATATCAAATTTACTATAGCATCAGTAAGTATATTTATAAAGACTTCAATAGGGCTGGGAAGGTGGCTCAGTGGTAGAGTGCTTGCCTTGCATGCATGAGGCCCTGGGTTTGATTCCTCAGCACCACATGAGCAGAAAAAGGCTGGAAGTGGCACTGTGGCTCAAGTGGTAGGGAGTTAGCCTTGAGCTGAATTGCTGAGGAACAGTACCCAGGCCCAGAGTTCAAACCCCACAACCAGCAAAAAAAAAAAAAAAGACTTCAATAACTTGGAGAATACCCCTTTAAAAAAACAACAGAAGGGCTGGGAAGGTGGCTCAGTGGTAGAGCGCTTGCCTTGCATGCCTGAGGCCCTGAATTCGATTCCTCAGCACCACATAATCAAAAAGAAAAAAGCCGGAAGTGGCACTGTGGCTCAAGTGGTAGAGCGCTAGCCTTGAGCTGAAGAGCTGAGGTACAGCACCCAGGCCCAGAGTTCAGGCCCCACGACCGAACCAAAAACAAAACAAAAAAAAAACAGAAGCCAGGTGCCTGAGGCTCACGTCTGTAATCTTAGCTACTCAGGAGGCTGAGATTTGTGGATCAAGGTTCAAAGCCAGCCTGGGCAGGAAAGGCTGTGAGACTCTTTATCTCCATTAACCATCAGAAAACCAGAAGTGGGGTTGTAGCTCAAGTGGCAGAACACTCGCCTTGAGCTGAAGATCTCAGGGACAGTGCCCAGGCCCAGAGTTCAAGCCCCACAACCAAAAAAAAAAAAAAAACGAAAACAGGATATAATTGGGTGCCAGTGACTCATGCCTATAATCCTGGCTACTCAAGAGCCTGAGATCTAAGCATTGTGGTTTGAAGCCAGCCTGGGCAGGAAAGTCCATGAGACTCTTATCATCTCAATTAACCATGAAAAAAGCTGGAAGTAGAACTGTGGCTTAAGTGGTGGCGTGTTAGCTTTGAGCAAAAAAGCTCAGGAACAACATCCATGCTGTGAGTTCAAGCCTCAGGACTGGCACACACAAACAATATAACTATATAAAAGGCCATATATAGTGGTACCACACCTATGATTTCACACTTGGGAGGCTGAGGAGGGAAGAGAGCAAGTTCTGGGACAGCCTAGCCTACATAGCAAGAACCTATCTTGAAAAGACACAATGTGCAGCCATTGCCACTCCAATCTGTTGGGAAAAAAAAAATTAATGCAGCTCAGTGGAGGAGCAGTTGCCTTCACTGTGGAGGACGTTTGATTGCCAGTACCAGGGGAAATAAGTACTTATACTAAGTGAAATAAGTACGCCACGAAGACAAATATCTAGGTTGTTGGAGGGCAAGCCAGTGAATGAAACCGTCAAGTACTGAGTTTGAGTTCCGATCTTAAACCAAAAAAAAAGATATTATATATGGCTTCACTTATATGAGATACTTAAAATAGTCAAATTCATAAACAGTGAAATGGTGGGTGCTTGAGGCTGGTAGAAAAGTGTGTGAAATTATTCTTTATTGGGCATGTAATTTCACTTTATTTTTGTATTGTGTCAAAATTGGAAATTTTTTTTCCAACAAAGGACAGGCTGAGAGAATATTTGCAATTTAACAAAAACTACAAAGACTCAGGATATTTAAAAAGAATCAAAGGACTCTTCAAAAATTTTCATATGAGGGGCTGGGAAGGTGGCTCAGTGGTAGAGTACTTGCCTCGCATGCATGAGGCCTTGGGTTCGATTCCTCAGCACTACATAAACAGAAAAGGCTGGAAGTGGTGTTGTAGCTCAAGTGGTAGAGCACTAGCTTAGAGCTGAAGAGCTGAGGGACAGCGCCCAGGCCCAGAGTTCAAGCCCTACCACCGGAAAAAAAAAAAAAATCATACGATAAAAGAAACTAACAGAGAGCTCAAATGGCTGTTAATGAAAAGGTTTCTGAAAAAACAAAGCTTTCTGGAGGAAAAAAAAACAAAAACCCTAAAATGATCATGAGATCCCAATTACCAGCAAGGAAGCAGAGTTGATGGTAAGACTAGGAAAAATTGCTAAGTATACCGTGACGTGTAACAGTGATTCCCAGCCACAATCTAAGAATTAGAGCTTTAAAAACAAACACAAAAAACAATGGTTGCAATAAAGAAACAACACAATCTAGAGATGCTAGCTTCCCTTGCTAAGCAAGTGCTCTACCACTTGATCCATGCCTCTTGTCCTTTTTTGCATTATTTTCTAGACAGAGATCCTACCTCTTTATGCCCTTGCCAGCCTGGGCTTCAGTCCCGGATTTACCCTTCCCAATGAGAATAATAGGCACGCGCCACCTTTCCCAGCCATTGGTTGAGATGGAGTCTAGAACCCTGAGCCTCTCTGATCACCTTCCAAGAAGCTAGGCTTGAGCCACCTGCCTCGCTCAACAGTTGTTTTAACTGTAATTTAAAAACTGATCTACGCGGAAACTATGTGGGATCAAGAAAACGTCATTCGAGGTATGGGGAGACACAGTTGTTGACCCGCAGAGGGGGAGGGCTGCCTGTGAGGGTGGGGGGCAGGGCTGCCTCTTAGGCCCAATTTGGGGGCTCCAGACCAAATCGGGTTCAGTTGTACAGGTTCTTACGTGGTGAGAGAACAGAAGGGTGGCCTGGATAGGAGGGTGGAGGACCATATAGGGCCCCACACCTTGGGAAATCCAACTGCAGAGAGCTGCCAGCTAAGGTCCTGCCAGTTGCTGCTGCGGGCCCCTGAACGCAACCTATAGAGCAGATTGGGCCTAGACACCCACATCCCTGGGCCAGGGGCTGCTCGCGAGTCCCGCACCCACCCGGTCCTTGGAGCTGTTGGCCAAGAACACTAGGACGCAAGATTCCCCACTGACCAGCACCCACAGTGAGCCAGGCTGCGCAGGCGCTCTGAGCTCCTCGCGGAGCCCTCCCCTAGACTGCGCCCCTCCCCGGGAAGCCCCACCCCCTCCTCGGGAGGCCCCACCTCTCGCGTATTTCGGCCCTTACAGGCTGGCTAAGAGGCAGGGCTTGGCGGATCAGCCAATGGCGGCGAGGCGCGCCCCGCGGCACGTGCAGCCCCGCCCGCCCCACCGGGTGGGACTCGAACCCGCTCCCCAGCGCGGAGGACGCAGGGCCCGGACGCGGGAGCCGGGGAGGGGGAGGGAAAGGGCGGAGCGCGGGCAGGCACGGCGTGTTGATTGGCCAGCGCCGCGTTCGGAGGCCGTTAACGGCGGCTAGGCCGGGCCGTGGCTCCAAAACAAAGGGCAGGCGGCCCGCGGGGCGGCGGCGGGAGGATGTCTCGCGCCCTGCCAGGGCGCCAACGGCTGGATCGAGTCCTGGGCAGCGCCGGGGCCGCCTGAGAGCCAAGCCCGCGCTGACCAGGGCCCGGGCCGAATGGGCGCTGCGGGCCGGAGCGCGGACCGCCGAGCGGCCGTGAGTACCGGCGGGCCTCCATTCGGGGTCTTGGGTGGTGACTGCGGGGCTGCGGGCGGGCCCGGGAAGCACCTGTTGGGCTCCGGGGCGGGCGGGGGCGCGCGCGGCGCGGGCCGTTGACGGTTGTCTCTCGACGTGCTGATAGCTCACTTCTGAGAGCCGACCCCCGAATCCGATGTGTGGTTCTCCCCTCTCCCCCCCAGGCCCCCCCCCCCCCGCCTTCCCCAGCGGTGAAAAGATTTACAGAAAGTAAAGCAGATGCCTAGCGATCCTGCTTTCCCTCCCTCCTTTAAAGCACACAGTTGAGGAGACAAATGAGGACAAAGATGTCTCCAATAAGGGAGTGCTTCCTAAGACGGGAGGAGACGCTTTCGAGTTGTTCATATGGAAATCATAGCGAGGATGAGCTGTTGTCCTTGTGTGCCACACTCGGCTTTGTTAATGCACAGATTCCCCAAATGTGAGCGTTGGGGACAGTGGATGGGCGAGCCTCCGCCACTTCCGCGGTGCCTGCCACAACTTACTGTCCTTTTTGCTGGCTGGCTTTTGTACCGGTACTGGGGCTTGAACTCAAGGCCTGGGCACTGCCTTTTAGCTTTGTTTTGCTCAAGGCTGGTACTCTACACTTGAGGCACAGCTACATTTCCGGGTGTGGGGTGGTTAATTGGAGGTAAGCATCTCTAGACTTTTCTGCTTCAGCTGGCTTCGAACCATGATCCTCAGATCTCAGCCTCCTGAGTAGGATTACAGGTGTGAGCCTCTAGCACAGGGCCACAAATGTATTTATCTCCATTATATGCTAAGTAGAAAGCTGCAGAAATTCAACTTTAGATAATAATTTCCCCACCCCAAGCCCTCTGGATTCAGTTGCCATCACCACCACCACCACCTCCTCCTCCTCTCCTTTCCCTTCCTCCTCCTCCTCTCCTCCTCCTCCCTCTCCCCTCCTCCTCCTCCTCCTCCTCCTCCTCCTCCTCCTCCTCTTCTTCTTCTTCTTCTTCTTATTATTATTATTATTCCTCCTCCTCCTCCTCCTCCTCTTTCTTCCTCTCCTTCATGGCAATATAAAACATACCTATCACCTGGTGCCACGGCTCACGCCTGTAATCCTAGCTAGTGAGGAGACTGAGATCTGAGGATCATGGTTCAAAGCCAGCCTGGCAGGAGAGTACATGAGACTCTTATCTCCAATTAACCACCAGAAAACCAGAAGTGGCACTGTGGCTCTAAGTAGCACTAGCCTTAAGGAAAAAAGCTCAGAGACCAGAGACAAGACCTAAGCCTTGAGTTCAAGCCCCACAGACAACAGCTACAACACACACAAAAATAAATGATCTTAGTTACCAATCCGAACAATAGTTCCATTTATTGTTTGTTTTTGTATTGGTGCTAGGGAATCAAACCCATGTATGTTGGGCAAGTGCTCTACTACTGGATATACTGCTAGTCTCTGCTAAAAATAAACTCATTTTGGAATACCTTTAGATTTACATGAAAGTTGTAAAGGGGCTGGGCACTGGTAGTTCACACCTGTACTGCTAGCTATTGGGAAGGCTGAGATCTGAGAATTGAGATTTCAGCCAAGCTCAAGCAGGAGAAGCTGTAAGAACCGCCCCCCCCCCCCCAAAAAAAAAAAGCCTAAAGGATAGCACCCAGGCCCTGAGTTCAAGCCCCAATACACACACACACACACACACATACCTACCTGTTGTAAAGTTGCTGAGATGAACCTTAGTGGTAGAGCAGTTATTGAATGAAGCCCTGGCTCCCATCCCCAGCACCAATAAGAGACTGGGAGTGTGGCTAGTGGTAGTGTTGCCTGCCCTGCATGAAGCCCTGGGTTCGATTCCTTAGTACCACATAAGTTGAAAAAGCCAGAAGTGGTGCTGTGGCTCTAGTGGTAGAGTGGTAGCCTTGAACTAAAGAAGCTCAGGGACAGTGCCTAGGCCCTGAGTTAAAGCCCCAGGACTGGCAAAAAAAAAAAAAAAAAAAGTTACATAGATAATACTGTTGTTTCATTATACATCCACATCCTGTTTTTCCCCTTGTTACACCACCTTACATGAGGTTAAAAAATAATAATAAATAACCTGGGTTGGACATTTTTTTTCTCATCTCTGTAAATCTTTGCTACTCAGGAGATTGAGATCGAGGATCATGGTTTAAAGCCAGCCTGGGCAAGAAATTGTGTGCACTCTTACCTCCAATTAACTACCAACCCCCCCCCAAAAAAAAAAAAAAAAAAACAGAAGTAGAGGTATGGCTCAAGTGGTAGTGTTAACCTTCAGCACAAAAGCTCAGGGACAGCACCCAAGCCCTGAGTTCAAGCCCCAGGACTGGCACAAAAAGCGACCTTAGTCCATTCTTTTTTTTTTTTTTGTCCGTCGTGGGGCTTGAACTCTGGGCCTGGGCACTGTATCTCAGCTCTTCAGCTGAAGGAGAGCACTTGAGCCACATCACCATTTCCGGTTTTCTAGTGGTTTATTGGAGATAAGAGTTTCACGAAGGGGCTGGGAAGGTGGCTCAGTGGTAGAGTGCTTGCCTTGCATGCATGAGGCCCTGGATTCAATTCCTCAGCACCACATAAGCAAAAAGAAAAAAAAGCCAGAAGTGGTGCTGTGGCTCAAGTGGTAGAGCGCTAGCCTTGAGCTGAAGAGCTGAGGGACAGCGCCCAGGCCCAGAGTTCAAGCCCCACGACCAACAAAAAAAAGAGTTTCACGGATTTGCCTGCCCGGGCTGGCTTTGAACTGCAATCTCAGCCTCCTCAGTAGCTAGGATTACAGGCATGAGCCCCCGGCGCCTGACTCCTTGGTCCATTCTTTAAACTCAGGGCACTTGGTCTTTCCATTTTGAAGTACTAAGTTGTAAAGCACTAAAGTTGTTTATGTTGACACCAGTGTTTCTGTGTTAACATATGTCCTCTGATTTCTGCCTGTCTTCTCTAAGCAACACAGCACTTGTGTTAAAGAGTAGGGCAGGTTATGTGATACGACAGAACTAACAGGACTTAAGAAACAAAGAACTCCCACTACTAAATATCCCCATGCTGCTGATCACATGTATGGTGTATATATGTACACCATTATATGTTATAGACCATGATAGACAATTTGCTCCAGGAAAGTTAGAATGAACTTGTGACTTTAAATGAGCATCATTATTCCACAATACTGTGAAATTTGGGAAATTATGTAATCACTTAATCACAATTAAAAAAAAAAAAAAAAAGAACCTGGGGAAGGTAGGGAGGGAAGGGATGGTAGGGGGAAAACAATGGAGGGGGTAACAATGCTCAATAGGAAGTGTACTCAGTACCTTACTCATGTAACTGTAACCTTCTGTATAGTATCTTTACAATAAAAAATTAAAAAAAAAAAAAGAGTAGGGCAGGGCAGGAGAGGGTGGAAAAGCATGTGGTTTTCATGTGTTGTTTTTTTTTTTTTCTCGCCAGAAGTGGCACTGTGGCTTAAGTAGTAGAGCACTAGCCTTGAGCTGAAGAGCTGAGGGACAGAGCCCAGGCTCAGAGTTCAGGCCCCACGACCAAAAAAAAAAAACAAAAAAGAGATTTAAAAAAGTGTCAACTTATGTGCATATTTTGATCAGTGTCATTCTTCCCATCATTCTTTCCCCTCTACCTCCAAATATCTTTTTTTTGGTGGGGCCTCAACTCTGGGCCTGGGCGCTGTCCCTCAGCTCTTCAGCTCAAGGCTAGCACTTAAGCCACAGCACCACTTCTGGCTTTTTCTGCTTATGTGGTGCTGAGGAATTGAACCCAGGGCCTCATGCATGCAAGGGCAAGCACTCTTGCCCCTAAGGGGTTCAATTCAACATGTCAGTTTGTGGGCTGGGATCTAGGTCATTGGCAAAGTGCTTGCCTAGCAAGTGCAATGTCCTGGGTTGGATCTCCAGTACCAAAAAAAAAAAGATTAGGGGCTGGGAGGGTAGCTCAGTGGTAGATTGGAGTCTCACAGTTTCCTTCCCTGGACTGGTTTTGAACCTTAATCCTCAGATCTCAGCCTTCTGAGTGAGTAGCTAGGATTACTGGTATAAGCTACTGAGCAATCTCTTTTCCTCCTATTCAATCTAGTGTTCTAGGATAGGCTTGTATACCGTGTTTATATCTTCACCCTACTTGTTTGCAAGGAAACTAGGTACATCTTCTAGGATATGCTTCAGGCTATGGCTATGGGAAAGTATAAAAGTTAGTGAATATTGAAGGTTTTTTGTTTTTGTTTTTTTGTCGGTTGTGGGGCTTGAACTCTGGGCTTGGGCGCTGTCCCTGAACTCTTCAGCTCAAAGCCAGTGCTCTACCGCTTGAGCCACAGTACCACTTCCGGTTTTCTAGTGGTTTATTGGAGATAAGAGTCTCAGGGCCTTTCTTGCCCGGGCTGGCTTTGAACCTCGATCCTCAGATCTCAGCCTCCTGAGTAGCTAGGATTACAAGCGTGAGCCACCCGTGCCAGGCTTATATTGAAGGTTCTTAAAGATAGGCCAAGCCAGGCACTGGTGGCTCATGCCTGTAATCCTAGCTACTCAGGAGACTGAGGTCTGAGGATCACAGTTCAAAGCCAGCCTTGGCAGGAAAGTGCATACTCTTATCTCCAAATAACTACCAGAAAACTGTTAAGTGGTGCAGTGGCTCAAAGTGGTAGAGAACTAGCCTTGAGGGAAAAAGCTTAGGGACAGTGCCCAGGCCCTGAGTTCAAGCCCCATAACCAACAACAACAAAAAAGGCCAAGAACAAATACATCATTAGCCTTGTGGGGAGATGGAGAATGTGAGACTTGGACTTGGTAGGAAGATAGCTGGAAGACATGGTGGGCCTCAAATGGCAGAGGTATCTGAACCAGTAGGTAGAAGAGGAGTAGAGTCCCTTCCCAGGAGAGCCTGTGCTCTACCAAGCCTACAGTGTCCAAAATGTAGAGGAAGAATTGTCATCTTGAGATTCAAATAGGGAGGGAGAGAGAGAGAGAGAGAGAGAGAGAGAGAGAGAGAGTGTA